AAAATCACGTAAGTCATAAGGAAGTGGATTTGGCAATATTTAGCAAAATTACATGTTACATATACATATATACATTACCCTGTGTCCTAACAATCTTACTTTTAGAAACTTATCCCAAAGATATACTAACATAAGTGTAAGATGATTTATGGTTAGGCTCTTGATTACAACACTATGTGTAAGAATAAAAGACAAGCTGCTAAATAAATTATGGTAGAGTCACACAATGGAGTACTATAACTTTAAAAAGACATGAGAAGAAGTCAGCACTTTGCTTCAGCATGACCCACAGAATATCATTAAACAAGAAGCAGAGCACACCATCTTTTATGTCAAGAAGAGTGGGAAATACAAGCATATCCATATTTGGTTATATTCTTTTAAAAGAGGAATAAAAGTGCAGAGGATCATAGGGGAAGGGAGGGAAAATGGAATGGGAAGAAATCAGAGAGGGAGACAAACCATGAGAAACTCTTGACTCTGGGAAACAAACTGAGGGTTGCTGGAGGGCAGGTGGGTGGGGCGATGGGGTAACTGGGTGACGGGCATTAAGGAGGCACGTGATGTGATGAGCACTGGGTGTTATATGCAACTAATGAATCATTGAACACTACATCAAAAACTAATGATGTACTATATGTCAGCTAATTGAATTTAAGTAAATAAAAATAGGAAAAAAAATTTACCTATCAGGGAAGAAGGCAAGAGGGTAGAAGGGACAGGGATGAAAGTTAGACTTCTCTGACTGTCCTTTGCCTGAGGTTTTGATTCTATAAACGTATGCACATTTTAAATAATTAATAAATTAAAAATTAAAAAATTCCTAAATATCTAGACTACGAAATCTAAAATTTAACTAATTAATCTAACCATATATTGATGGCTTACCCAGATAAGGAGCAATTATTTCAAGAGACTTTGAAACACAGGGTTTTAGCTCAGATTCACCAAGCAGATCTGAGACAAATATTTGAGTGCCAGGAACCCCAGTAGGCAAGTGGTGAAGTCGGACAGTTAGTGAAGGGTGTGTCATCAAGCCCGCCACCACTGTGGGCAAATGGAGCTTAATCAGATGAGAAACTATGGGAAATGATACAGAACGTGTATCAAATGTATCCCTCTTGAAAGGAAAGAAGTTTGGGCTAATTATATACCAACTCCCTCTCAGTCATTGACTGAGAACTCTTCTCAGAGGGTGTTAGATGCCCCATATTTTCAGTGTTCCATGTGCACAGACAACCTTCCATAAAAGCAACCTTCTGAAAAAGCTTTCAGGAGAAAACATGCATATACAGGCATTTGGAAGTAGTCCTGAGTGCACTGGAGTGGTCAAGCTCAAGGAATCTGGGTGTGCCTTGGAGAGTATACATTATACATAATAATTTGTATCTATATCCCCAATGAAACGTATCTTAAGAACAAGGAGAACCATGAAGAAATCCAAAACTCTATTCAGTGATTTGGTAATAATATTTGGTGTTGGTGTTTATAAGTATTATATATGTGTTGTAGGTTAAAGCAAATAAATATGTTGGTGTCCTTAGGAACTGGAATTTTCAGCATGAGAGAAAGATACAGGGCAGAAACAAAGATGTTAAGTTTAACAACTGCATTCTTTTTTCTTTTTTTTTTTAAGATTTTATTTATTTATTTGAGAGAGAGCGAGAGAGCACACGTGTGCACTCAAGCAGGGGCTAGGGGTAGAGGGAGAAACAGACTCCTGGCCAAGCAAGGAGCCTGATGCAGGACTCGATCCCAGAACCCTGGGATCATGACCTGAGCTGAAGGCAGGCACTTAACCAACTGAGCCACCCAAGTGCCCTAAAAACTGCATTCTTAAAACTGGATTATAACTATCAGTATTAACCTGTTTAATTGTCTCCCTCCTTAAAAAATACTTACTTCATAGCCCTGTCCCCCAAAAAGGACCTGGAAGCAGTGACAACCTAGTAGTAATGAGCACCACTAAAACACAGATTATGGTCTCTTAATAGCACTTCCACAAAAAACAACCAGGGCTGCATAGGGCAATGACGGATTCCGGATCTTGGACAGGAAATGTGCAAAATGAGCACGGAATATTTTATTGTGTGAAAAGCAAGGAAGCTATCAATGTTTACTGAAATTATATAAAAAAAAACTCAGGAACCAATTTCAAGGAGGCTTCCACTGGCTAAAGATGAGATGATTTGAGCATTAAAAAGTATAAAAATAAAAATAGATTGACATCTATCAATCCATGTTAAAAACCATGATTTTATAATGATACAAAAATAAAAACTTCATTGGTCACCTCTGGGGGCTACTAAGGCACCAACTCATTGTTCTAAAATCTAAAGGAGAGTAAGCAAAGGCATTTTTACCCTGCCTTTCCTTTATGAACTGTATGTCAAAATAACCAAAAATAGTTGGAAGGAAAAAATAATTTCAACTGATACAGACAGAAGGAATAGTAACATTAGTAGTCACCAGTGTATAACCCCTGGTGGAATGATGGGTCTAGACATTTTTATCTACATTTGTTAAAGATTTGAGCTAAAGGCTGGTAGAGAACTTCACAGCAGATAGATCAAGCTGACAACACCCAAAGCCAATAGTCAATCTGAACACCATAAAAAGAAATAGCTAGATATTACATGCCTCCTAATGTAATGCATTAGGAAGTTGTTGGCAACACCTATGAAGTATTCTTGCCAAAATTATGAACCTTGTTCTAATCAACTAGATCCTTTAGATCCAACTGCAGTCAATATAGGGGAAAGAAGATCATTTCAAACGATACAACAGGAATATATGCAAGAATATGGAAAATTCTGCAGGTTTTTCCAGCAGACTTGGGTTTTTTCAACAAATAAATATTAAGAAAAATAAGAGGAAAGGGAAACTCTTTTAGAAAAGGACATGTAAAAGAAATAGCAAGGGGTGCCTGGCTACCTCAGTCAGTAAAACATTCAACTCTTGATCTCAAGGTGCTGAGTTCAAGCCCCACATTGGGCAGGGAGCCTACTTAAAAAAAAAAAAAAAGACATAGCAACAAAATGTAATAATGGATCTTGTTTACATCCTTATTCAAACAAACCAATTATAAAATATTTATGAGACAAGCAGGAAAATTTGAATACTGACAAGTATTAGATAATATTAAAAGAACTATTATTAAATTTTAAGTATGATAATGAGATTTTGATTATGTTTAAAAATAATTTTTTTAAGAGAAGAGAGAGAGAGAGCACAAGCGGGGGACAGTGGGCAGAGGGAGAGGGAGAGAGAATCTTAAGCAGGCTTGACACCCAGCACGGAGCCCAACGTGGGGCTCGATCTCACAACCCTCAGATCATGACCTGAGTCGAAATCAAGAGTTGGATGTTTAACCAGCTGAGTCACCCAGGCACCCCTTGATTATGTTTAAAAAATAATTCTTAATTCTTAAGTATACATGCTGAGGTAGTTGTGAATGAAATGACAGTGTCTAGTTTTGCTTCAGAATAACGCAGTGGATGGGAGAAGTATAAATGAAACATTGGTTGATAATTGTTAAAGTCCCAGGATGAGTACTTTGTATTTTTCTTTTGAGAGAGAGAGCAAGCATGTGTGAGCAGCGGGGTAAGGTGGGGGTGGGGAGAAGAGAATCTTAAGCAGGTTTCACGTTCAGCATGGAGCCTGGACTTAGGGCTTGACCTCATGACCCTGAGATCATGACCTGAGCCAAAATCAAGAGTTGGACCCTTAACTGACTGAGCCACCCAGGCACCCATGTACTTTGTATTTTTAAGGTGTGTTATAAACGTTTTTTTTTTTAACCCAAGCCTGTATACTCCCTGAAAAGTCTTTGTGCACTCCTGGGGGTTCATGTACCCTAAACTGAAGTTCATTACAGTATTTAGCAGTATCAAACAATCTGGGAGGAGTTATACCTATCTGGCAGAAAGTTTAGGGATGAATTTGTTATAGGCTCATTAAAACTAAGCAAATAAAAAGAATAAGACAATTAGGGGCACCTGGCTGGCTCGGTCAAAAGAGCATGCGACTCTTGATCTCAGGGTCATGACTTCAAGCCCCACATTGGGTGTAGATATTACTTAAATAAATAAAAACTTTAAAAAGAGAGAGAGACAATTAAAAACTGGGGGGGAAGCTATACAAGAAAGGAAATATAATCATGATATATTACGGGGCCCAGTTGTGAACAATGCTCCTTTGGTCATAATAATATAAATGATGAATACTGATAAAAGATTTTGATGTGTCTATGATAAGAGGATGTAAGGAAAGGAAGTGTGAATGACAGGTGGCAGGAGATGTGAGAGCTAAACCATCATCTTCCATAGTAGTAGGTATATTCATAATATATAAAACTGAAAAAAAGAGAAATAACTGTATAAGCATCTTATTTAGAAACACAGAGAGAGGGCACCTGGGTAGCTCAGTTGGTTAAGCATCCAACTCTTGATTTCAGCTCAGGTCGTGATCTCAGGGTCGTGGGATCAAACTCCGTGTCAGGCTCCGTGCTGACTGTGGAGCCTGCTTGACATTCTCTCCTTCTCCCTCTGCCCCTCCCTGCTCAACACAGAGAGAATCAAAAGAATTGATTCCAAAGAATCAGCTATAATAGTTAAAAGTGGTTGGCCTGTAATTTTTTTTCTAGAAGAGGAAGCAAGAGGATCTGATGTTTTTAGTTCTCTACCTTATATGATTTTTTGGACAATGTACTTCAGGAAGGAGGGGAGAGAGGGAGGGAAATGACAAAATCTGATCTGTATTTTAACATGATCACCAAGGTCTGTCGAGTGCATGTGGCAAGGATCGAGGCGCGGTCAGTGAGGCCAGTTGGCAAAGCTATTACAGTAAGAAGTGTCATAATAAAAATTACACAGAGGAGAAAACTGGAGATGAGAGATTGAGGTGAGTCTAGCTGGGCGAACCATAACGGCGGGTATCACACTAGAAAGTAACTTGCCATCTTTATATTTCTCTCTTCCCTCTCAACTTTGCCTTGACGGAAGCTAAGCCCTCTCTTCCAGAGGTTTCTGGCCCCTCCAACAGGATCAGCCCAGGCCAGACAGTGAATCTCACCTGCACATCAACTGGCTTCTTTCCCAAAAGCATACACCTGAAATGGCTTGAAAATGATGTGGAGCTTCCGGCATTTCAGACCCTGGTCTTCCTGCCTAGAGATGCTGGATCCTACACCATCGTCAGCACGGTGCTGGTGACCCTTGACTTATCCTCACTCCACTCCCAGCTCACCTGCCAAGTGGCTCACAATACATTGCAGAGCCCCCTCAGTAGGCACGTGAACATCTCCAAATTCCTCCAAGGTAAGGGCCCCCACCTCCCACCCAAATGGCCAACCCTTGGTGACCACCACCAGTTCCCTGTTTGGAGCGCTTCACCTGCGTCCTCCCATTATTCTTCACCAAACCCCACATAAGATGGGTACAAGGTCCCCTATCTTATCCGACCATCCTCTTCTTACACGATGCCATGGTCGGGTCCTTCTCCTTCAGAGCTCTTTTCACTTTCTTGTATTTGGGGGGTGGAAGCTCATTCATTCATTCAACAAGTTTATTGAGCATCTGCGATGTGGCAGTATCATTCTACGTGCTGCGGAGTCTGTGGTAAACAGACCAGACCTAGTTCTACTCCACTAAACTCACAGTCACATAAGCCCCATCAACAAGATGCAAAAACTATATACAGTTCTAACTTTTTTTTTTAAGATTTATTTATTTGAGGGAGAGAGTGCTGGGAGGAGGAGCAGAGGGAGAGGGAGAGAGAGATCCCAAGCAGACTCCCCACTGGGCACGGAGCCCAGTGCAGGGCTCAATCTCACAACCCTGAGGTCATGACCTGAGCCAAAACCAAGAGTCGGATGCTTAACCGACTGAGCCACCTAGGCACCCCACACGCTTCTAACTTATAACATGTGCTATGAGAGAAAAGAACTGAGTATTAAAATAGATGAAAACAGGAGAAATATAATATACTGAGGAAATGCCTTTTTGGAGAAGTGATGTTTGAATCACAGCATGAAAGATGAAAGGGGTCAGCCAAGGAAAAAGTGGAGTGTTCCAGGCAGAAGAAACAGCGGTGCAAAGGCCCTGTGACGGGGGTGGGGAGCGAGACATGTTTGAACAGTAGAGAGGAGGAAGAGGTCCATGTGGTCAGGGCTTAGTGAGAAGAAGGGTGCATGGAGAAGGCGGAGGCTGGAGAGAGAGGAGCAGGAGCAAGACCACACAGGGCTTCAAGCCACAAGAAAGAAGTTTCTCCCTCTTGCACTGTCTACGTGAACTCTTAACACCATTGTGCAAGCCACCACGCTTTGCTGCCAGTCATTGCATTTGAAACACACTTCTTAAACCCACCCCCACATCAGGGGAGGGGACAACGCAGGGGACAATGCAAGACTACACCCCTGCCCCCCTTGCTCTCCTCATAAGGATGAGGCCATTACTGCAGTGTTCAATATGGAAGGAAAGTAAAGGAAGGAAATCACCCTTTCTGCTCTGGAAGTCCACAGCCTGGCCTGGGCAAGGGTGTCCCGAAGGTGTTTGCACTCTCCTCAGCCACCACCCCCCAGCAACCTCAGAGGGCAGAGACCCACTCACTTCCTACAAATGGGCACATCCTTTCCAGGGCTCCAGAGCCCCAGTGCTCCTTCTCCGTCTGCTCCAGCCAGAGCAAATCAAAGAGAAAACCCATTAACAGCATCACAGTCTCCACAACCCCCCTCACCACTGGAGATAATTTGTGGTACCAAGGTAAAGAGTTTAGCTCATCATTTTGGAAATGCCTCCCTCCCTAAATAGTAGTCTGCCCTTGCTTAGCCAAAAGATACCACAAGAGGGTTCCAGCTTGGAAACGGAATTCTAGACTCCACCTAGAGTATCCCAAAAAAGCTATGTGTCCCTGCTTCATGCAGATGAGGAAATCAAGGCTCAGAGAAATGAAATGACTTGTCCAAGGTCACATGGCTCTTAAGTTTGTGAGCTGGAATTTGAACCCAGTAATACACCTCTTGGATGATCATGTCAGACCTCCCTCCTGTAAGAAGTCCCCATGCAGAGATACCAAAGCAAGGCAGTCCCCCTTCCCCAGGGAAGGTGCTTTGGTCATGGTCAGCTAAGAGATGGGCATTGTGCTGCTCTTTGCACTCTCTCCAAACCTCTGGCTCCTCCTCCTTCCCCATACCAATGAAGAGACACTCCATCAACCCCAATCATCCAAGCCAGAGACCTGTTTTACCCAACCCACCACCAAGTTCTACCAAATTCACTTCTCACGTCTCTCTCTGAACCCATCCATTTCTTTCTACTGTCACTGACCAGGTTCATCCCCAAGTTCAAGGCAACCTGGACACCACAGCCGCCTTCTCTCATATCCACCATTACCCTCAACAGTGCAGCCCCCAAATCCCCAGCAGTCAAAGACATTTTATAAAGGAAGCCAAGTCTTGTCGCTCCTTTCCTTAAAACCCTTCGGTGGCTCACCACTCCTTTTACAAAAATATAACAAAATAAAATCCTTATCAGGGCGTTCAACAGCAATCTTCAAACATTTTTATTCATATACCCCTGAGGTAATTGTGAAGAACTATGTAGTTCCTCATATATTTTAAAGTTAACATCCAGAATTGTTCATCACAGACTTAAGTAGTTGCACGGGCCAGAAAACCCTGGGATTTTACAAATGTTACATCTCTCTGAAATGTTCAACGGAAAAATAAAGCCATACGGATTTGATTTCCACCATCATCCATTACAACAGACATAAACAAGCTCTTCTTTGATAATCAGAAATTTTATAACATTCCTTTTTCTTCCTAAATTTGTATTTCCATTCTAATTCCTGGGGAGAACTTTACCCCACTGTAAATATATTTTATATTTGAAAGTCCTTATTGACCACATCATCACACATATCATAGAGAACTCTGAGAAAACAGAGGACTACCATAAATATATATATGTATTGAATTTTATATATAACAAATTACATATAACTTATTATGTATAATATTCATTATATATATAAATTGAATTTTTAAAACTTTTTCTTATGACCATAGGCTCTAAGTGTTAAAAAATTCTTTTGGATTGAATTACACAATTGATCAAAACAATCTAAATATCCAACAAATTGTGATAAACAATTATTAAAATAACCATTAAAATGTTATCAGAAACGCAGCTCAGTGAGCTAGATGGGGGAGATTATGATGCTTTGATTAAAGTAGGCTTTCCGGCCCGCAGGATTTTTGAATTGTCCTTTTGTTTTGTGTCCCAGAGTCTTTACACCAAGGGCACTGCCCCATAGCTAGATTCGGATGTGTGGGAGGAAGGCCTTCCCTCTGTAATGTTGGGAGAAGGCCCGAGGAAGAGGAGACAGGAGTAGGCATTCTCAGGCAGATCAATTTCAGGAAAGAATCATATGAGGGCCCAGGACCCGGAAATTAATTATATTAAACTACCAATGTATGGACTCCTTAGGATGTCGTTATGTGCCCTCAGGGGTAAGTATAGCACCAGTAAACGCAGACAGTCTTTATGGTCACTGGTCATCTTGCCCATGCTCCCCCTTCACTCACTCTGATCATTTTTCTGTCCTTGGACACGCTAGGCTTCACCTCAAGGCCTCTGCCCATGCCCTACCCTCTGCCTGAGATGCACTTTCCCATACCTCCCCTCGCCCAGAGCCTGCCTTCCTCTGGCCCTCCACCAGCCCCTTTGCCTAAGGTTCCAGTTACCAGGACTGCATAACAGATTTTCCCCAAACATATTCCAATGCTCTAAACTTACTCCAAATCTCCCAAATTATGATGCTCACATATTCTGTAGGGCAGGAATTTGGAGAGGGCCTCGCAGGGATGGCCTATCTCTGCCCTATGATGTCTGGGACCTCACCTGAATGACTCCACAGCTGAGATTATCACAAAGCTGCCTCACTAACATGTCTGGCCATTGGTGCTGGCTATGGGTGAGGGGCTTCAGTTCTTCCTGGCATCGGCCTCTCCTGATTATCTTTCCACGCAGGCTAGTTAGAGCATCCTTGTAGCTTGATGGCTCTGTTCCAAAAGTGAATGTCCCAAGAGTCCCAAGGGGAAGTCACATCAACTTTGATGACCAACCCTTGGAAGTTACAGTGTCACCTCTGCTATACTCTCTTCTTCAGGCAGTCACAAAGTCCCACCCAGGGTCCAGGGCAGAAGTAGACTCGCCTTCCAGTGGGGAGTGGCAAGGTTCCGGAAGACACCTGGGAATTTGCTGTGGCCATTTTTGGAAAATACAATTTGCCACACATAGTTAACTCCTATTCGTTTTTCATACTTCTGCTGAAAGGTCACTTCTTCCAGAAACTCTTCCCTAACCTGCCCCACCTCCAGACCTGGTCAGGTACCCCCGTGTAGGTTCTCAGAACCCCTCCGAGGCTCACGTGACTGCTTTTCTTCTTCCCTGTTCTCCCCACCAGAGCAGGAGCTCGGTGTGTGTCTGTCTTACTTACTGCTGTAGCTCAAGAACCAAGGGCAGTGCCTAGAAAGGTAAGGATGCTCCTTGAACTTCAACAAAGGAAGGGCTATTGTTTCAGTTATACCCACAGTGACTGTTTCATCCCACCGAGTCCCAAGCCTCCAGTTGGCCATCCTCACCTGCTACGTGCAAAGGTTCTACCCTGAAGTCATACAAATCACCTGGCTGGAGGTGAACAGACGCTTTAAGGCCTGTGAGCCTCCCACCCCCACCAAGAACCCAGATGGCACATTCAGCCAAGACAATCATATCCTGGTTCACACCTCAGAGGACAAAGCGCTGTTCACCTGCGAAGTGTGGCAAGAGGCCCAGCCACTGATCCAGGCCCACGTGCGGCTGAGTGAGTCCAGAGGCCAGCCAGCGTGTTTGGGTGAGTAGGGGTGGAATAACCCAGCAGCTCAAGGTTCAGACCTGGACACAGACAGGCCAGGTTCACACGCTGGCTCTGCCATGTTTGTCATGTGTGAACTTGAGGAAGTCACTTCACCTTTTGGTACCTCAATTCCTTCATCTATAAAATGGGACAGCAGTTAGAGCAACCTCTGCAGAGTGTGCTGCCTTAGGGACCAAAGAGCTGTAAGCACCACTTTCATCACACAGCGGGATCCTGACCATGCAGCCACGGCACCGGCTCGTCCAGTGAATAAGTTCATACGAATTATCGTCCCCCTTTTCCACCCACCCTCTCAAAAGCCATTCAGATTCAACAATTACTGAGTGCCTATTAGGTATTCTGTTTGGTGTTCTCCTTTGATACAGGAACGTTCTAAGGTATACGTTATCATCCCCATTTTAAAGACTAGGAAACAGCTTAGAGAGGTGAGGGGATTCCCTCTTAGTCCAAGGGTGTAGTCTTGGTACCTGAGTCAGGGGTGAGGCTGGGCCTGCCTAGGGGTTGAGTGGTGGGCACCAGAAGCCGCGTTCATCCTAGTATCTTTCCAGATGCCAGGGCATCCAGCTCCCTCTCTGGGACCCTCATCCTGCTTGGCTGGAAGTTGTTTCCCTTGACTGCACTTTGCATCATCTATGTCCTCAAGAGGAGATTCCCTTCCAAGTAAGGGGGACCTCAGATAGGGGTTGGGCTTCCTGGGGGCCAGGAGACTCCGGGCCAACAGGTGGCACTGTGAGGAGAAGCCACACAGCACTCCCATTTCTTTCTTTCTTTCTTTCTTTTTTAAGATTTTATTTATTTATTTGACAGAGAGAGCACAGGGAGAGGGAGAAGCAGGCTCCCTGCTGAGCAGGGAGCCCAATCCGGGGCTAGATCCCAGAACCCTGGGATCATGACTCGAGCCGAAGGCAGCTGCTTAACCAACTGAGCCACCCAGGGGCCCCATCAGCACTCCCATTTCACACTGACCTTGAAGGCATGTGGAATCCAGAGCGTCCCTATAAGAGCCACACCCCAATCCCTTCAAACCTCCCCCTCTGCCCCTCACAGCTCCAGTCTGAAGGTCCACAAAGATGCAGGCTCCCCTGGTCTGGGCAGGGGGAGCACCGAAGGAGGGGGAGTTAATATGAAGACAACACTTTTGAGGGGGTCTGTGAGGAGAAGTCTGAGAACAAGGGCTTTGCCCCAGCTCCCTGCTTCCCCTGCAGGTCACAGGTGCCACAAGGCCCTCCTCAGGGACACAGGGCCCTCAGTCCCCTCCTGTTTTATTTAGGAGGACTGATGCAGGAGAGGCACTGGCCATGAAGTCTGCAACCACTACCAAAGCTTCTCATGCCTCACCAGCCTTCTGAAACCTGTCCTGCGGGCTGTCTCTCACTGTCTCCTGCAGGCCCCAGAGAAAGTGAGAGCCTGGACCGGGAGGGTCAGTAGTGAGAGGAAGGCTCTCACATCCTATGAAGGAAAGAAGCTTTTCCGGGGATTCTGGGCATGAAGTTCATGACCCTGAACAAGAAACCCAGCAGAGGCAAAACAAGCTCCTACCCAGGGAGAAACACAAACCTGCAATTCTGAAGGCCCCTCCCCAACTCCTCAAGGAAAGCCCATGGTGGACACCCAAACTGGCATGAAACCTTTACAGCTCCGTCATTAAAATGGGATTAAAAGACACAGATCTGTACTTCTGAAACAAATAACGCAACATATTTTAAGAAAAAAGAAAAAGAAGAAGATAACAGGAGAGGAAGAATGAAGGGGAGTAAGTCAGAGGGGGAGACGAACCATGAGAGACGATGGACTCTGAAAAACAAACTGAGGGTTCTAGAGGGGAGGAGGGTAGGGGGATGGGTTAGCCTGGTGACGGGTATTAAAGAGGGCACGTACAGCGTGGAGCACTGGGTGTTATGAACAAACAATGAATCATGGAACACTACATCAAAAACTAATGATGTAATATATGGTGATTAATATAACAATAAAAAAATTTTTTTTAAATGGGATTAAAAGAAACATTTATGGCCAATAAACATATGAAGAGATGTCCAATCTCATTAGTAATCAGGAAAAGCCAAAGCAAAACCATTTTCTCCCTATTCCAGGATAAAAAATAAAGAAGCAACTGGCTCCTTCTTATGTTGCTGATACGTATGTAAATCAGCACAACTACTTTGGAAAACAGTTTGGAAAATCTGAACTTGGACATTTGCATTCTCGATAACCTGCTATTTCCACCTTTGAGTTATATACATACCCTAAAGAAACTCTTCACCTGTGCTCCAGGAGATGAATATTCAAGTATATACATGGTAGCATGGTTTCAAATTAGAAAAACCTGAGAGAACCATCCAAATGCAAATCCACAGGATGGAGGGCAAATAATGTAGTACAATCCCAGAATGGAATGTTATACACTAATAAAAATGAATGAACTATAGCTACACACAATAATATGGATAAATCTTAGCGAAAGAATATTAGGAGCGAGTAAGCCCCAAAAGATTTCATACAGCATGATACTATGTTTATAAAGCTAAAAACATCTAACAAATGGTTTTTAGGGATACATATAAAAATGATAAACCCATATTTTTTCCAAAAGGATGAACTCAAGATTTTAAATAGTAGTTACCTGAGGTGGGGGCAGGGAAAGGGATGAGAAGGGTGGGTGTATGTATATGTAGATGGAAGTTAATGTCAGGATTCTAGCTTCCGTGCTGGGTGGTGGCTTCATGAATGTTTATATCATTATAAATTAAAAATAGAAAAACAATATAAGATTGATAAATAGGTATGTCAATAGATAGGTAGATAGACGGGCAGGTTATTGGAAAGAAGGAAGGGAGGGAGGGAGGATGGATGGATGGATGGATGGACGGATGAATGGATAAGTAGATTAATAAAAGAGGGTCATTAATGGATCAATGATAAGGGTGTGATGAAGCAAGAATTGTGATAGGTACAATTCTACGTACTTAAGATCCAAAGGAAAAATAAATAGAAGGACAATACCTAAAGAACCCCAAGTTCCCTTCCTATTATGACATTTACAAATCCACATTAGGAGGAAAGCATAGTTGATGGGTGTCACCACGGGTCCAGCACTTCGCAAGCAGGATCTTATTTCATCCTCATACAAATCCCACAAGGTGGGCACCATTCCCCACTTTGCGGTGAGGAATCTAAAGGAACCTACTCAGTGTTACTCAGATCACAAGTGGTGAAATCAAAAAATCCAGATTCAAACCCAGCTCTGCTCAGTGCTTTCCAGGGAGCCACACTGCCTACTGTCTGTGGACAGATGGGGAGACCTTGACTTGCCCTCATTCTACTGCTTCCCAATGTCTCGGGCCAGCTGTTCTACACGAAAGCCCACCCTGTGCCTCCGAGTTGGGAGCAGAAGGGAAGAACACGAACACTTTTCCAGTCGTGGAGGAGACCTAGGATTAGTCCTGAGCCCCAAAATAGCCCTGATAAAGATCCGGGGGAGGTAGTGTAGGCCAAGTTCTGGAGAAAGGCTCTCTGTTGAAGGATAAATATGTTCAGTGGAAACAGGCATCCTACTGTGTCTGTTTCACTGTGGCCTTGAACCTTTGTAGTCACAAAGACAGGGGTGCTGAGCCCAACCTCCATTCCCCCCTCAGACATGAGTCTCTTCTTCAACATTTTCTACTCCCAGTAGAGCAGCTTGCACTTCAACATTCCCATCCCCGGCCTCCCATGCTGGGAGCCTTGGGGTGCCCTGGCCTCCCTCCCCCACCCCCCACCCCAGAAGCAGGGCCAGGAGCAGGTTGAGGCCAGCAAAGGGCCTAGGGAGCAAAATGTAGAGAGACACTCTCTCTGGGTTGAGCAAGGACAGCAAGGACTTGCCACGTCATATTTCGTGTCCTAGATGCCCTAGGTGTCCAAGTGCCATGACTTCTGCTCCCTCCTGTTCATCTTCATGGTTGCTCAAATCCTGATCGGCATGTACCTTGATCACGCTAATAGCCACCTCACGATTCTCACTCTGGAGTTCTCTGAGCCATACACCCTACACAGACCTCAGAATGGTCTTTTCCAAACATTGGCTCAACTACACTTCAATTTAAAAAAAAATACATTAAAAAAAACCTTCAGATAGTTCCTCAGTCCCTAAGTCATACCTCGAGAAGGTGATAGCAACTACCCCAGGTGTCCCATACCTTGGTACCAGAGGGAAAATGAAGCAGTCATAAGAGTCCCAGCTTGGACATGAAGATGCCTCATCCCTTTGGGAGAAAGCTCACGTCCTGAGCAAGCGCATAGCTTCCACACAAATAATGGCTCATTGCAAGGAAGGTAAGGCCTTCATTTATTCTGCAAATATTACTGAGTTTATACTATGTAACAGGCACTGTTTCGACACCGAGGAAACTCTGGTAGACACTGGTAAGGATGGTTCTTACCTTGTGGAGTTTACAGTCTGATGAGTACAAATACAAAAGAAAGGAGAGAGGGAAGGAGACAGGGAGGGAGGGAGGGAAGAAGAAAGTGATACATGTGCTGAAGAAAATAAAAGGGTACACAAGATACTGCAGATTGCAATGACAGCTATCTAGAGAAAGCCTTTCGGAAAAGGGAGTATTTGAGCTGCTATCTGAAAGTTGCAAGAGCCTGGGGAAAGACACTCCTGTTACGGGAACCCATTGCGCCAAGACCTAAGGTGTGAAGGAATCTGGAACCTTCAAGGAAGAGGAAGGGGGCCAGTGGGGCTGGCATTGGAGAGTAGTGGGACGTGGAAAAATGCCAAAGAGATGGACGGGAGACGATCAGATCAGGGCTCCCCCAGTCTCTCCTTCCCCAGTAGCATCTAAGTTGCTTCTATGACATCGATCTCTTGCAGGCATATGCTAGCACGTCCATCACCCTGTGCTGCCTTTAACTACAGATCCACACAAGTGGCGCTAGAATTAACTTCTTCCTGATCTTGGGGCTTCCCTACATCCGCTCACCTTCAACTTTGCCTACAATCCTCCTAAACACATTGGAAGATCTGGCTACTCTGGGACCCCAGGAAACTCTGCAGGGCTGTCTCGGGTCCTCTCCACCCAGGCAGAGCACATATCCAGATCTGCTCTTTTGCCAGGCCAGACCGGGGGCAGGAGCTCCACCAGCCGTGTCACCAAGAAGGAACGCATTAGTCCTGACTCTCCAATCCCTCCAAATTGGAGCTGGGTTTTGCAGAAGGAGCAAGTTGCAGGACCCCCTCAGGGCCCCACCAGTGTTGGTTCCCTCCAGCTCCCCTCCGCTCCCCCACAGGTGGGGCAATATTGCCTTAGTCTCAGAAGTGTGTGTAAGGAGATGGGCGAGCGGCTTGTGGGGCTGGGGGCGGGGGTAAGGAAGGAGAGACTGCCTCTGCAGGAAACTGTTTTTCCAAACTTCCGCATCTTTCATCTGGAGCTCAGCCTCTGAAACTCAAAGATGCATTTATACTCTATTTCTGCAGTGACAGTCTCCCTTGAGATAGATGCATTACATTTGTCTGCTCCCTAACTTGGCCACGATAAAGCACAGGACACTGAGAGAAAGGCATGGGTAAAAACTGGGCTGCAGAGCTCTGCAGTGACACCAACAGGCACATTTTATAACTACATGTCAGAAGCGTTAACTCTGCCTTAAAATGTATCCAGAAACCGACAACATCTCTC